AGTACATATAAAGGTTAAGTTTAATGTGACTCATAATTTACTCTTAATTACTTACTGATTACTTCCTGTAAAGATAGATATTCATCATAATCACTTTGACCTGCATAATCACATAAAACATATAATACTTCTGACACCCTTAAGTTCATGGGTTTCCATTATTCAGAATAAATATGGGGAAATGTCTCTCACATTAAAAAGATGCAATATCTCTTATTTTTCTTGAGTCATTACATTGATTTTACTGACGTAAGTATACTTGCAATCTGTGGTTACTGCTCCATTACTCTTTTAAAAGGAAAATAGTAGTTTATGAACATACACTAATTTATTAACCAAAGTTGTTTTTGTTGTTGTGGTTTTGCTTGTTTGTTTTGTGTGTTTGTGTGGTTTTGTTTGTTTGTTTAGGAAAAAGTTATGCTTTCATCCATGCTGACAAAGACTTTGACTTGGCATTCTATCATATGCATAAGCTTGTTTTTCACTATTAGTATACCTTCATACCTTCATCCTTTGTGCAATGAGGTTTTGTCACAGTGATCTGCTCGATTATAACAATCAGTTAGGTGGTTTGATGAATCACTCCTTTTCTGTCTATTCATCTTGTTTTGATACCTCTAGTCACTCTAGTTTCTCAGGCAGCACACACCAACATGCACTACTAATTTGGGAAGAAAAAAACGTCGAAGAAAGAAATTGCCTTTATGACCTTCTCTTTTAGAAACTCTTATGTTCCCTGTTATTATATTATTTAATATAGCTATCTCTAAAGCAGAGGTGTAGACAAATACTCCTCTATATTTTCTCTATCTTATATACATAAGCAAGAACATATACATGTATATACATGTATTTAAAATATATGTATCTGTCTATAAAATATACATAGACATAGGTATGTGTTGATAATTAACTTGAACTCATTCTTCCATTCAAGTTCTCACCTGCCCGCATAAGAAACCTCACCTGATAAGAAACCGTAGCAATGCTAGTCACTAATGCTAACTGAAGGATTGGAATGGATTGAAACCTCTTGTTTCTGACATTGCATTTCACCTCACATTTCCTTTCCTGCTCTCAGGCTTTACCATGACAAATGTCCTGTGTTCTACTACAGTGGAGTACACACTGCAATTCACAAAGTAGTTCTTATTTCTTTGAAACCTTTTCCTGAGAGTAAGACAAGAGTACTGCGGAGCCTTGCTGGATACAAGAGGCCTGTCTTTACAGCAACTGATGGATGCTGTGGCCATGGTCCAATGCAGCTAATATTAGAGTCTTAGCTAGAAAAATTCATGACTTAATTCCAATCTGTAACCTAGATTCCTTTCCTTTAGAAAGAAAGTTTTGTTGAGCAGGCTAAGGGTAAAGAAGAACCTGGTATTCATCTAATTCTTATCCAAGTAGGGGACTGGACCATGAAGAGAAGTGGAAGATACATCAATGTGGATGTGACCAGAGAAACTCTGAGTTTCTAGTGACTCTGGCATCAGGAAAAGCATTAGCATCAGGAAAATGATTTGCAGGACAAAGAGTTCAGGATTATGCAGAGAATTAATGATGGATATTCCTAGCAGTTGGCCAAAGCTAACATTAACATAGTATGAGAACAAGACGAAGATGATAAATGTTTTTTTCTAAAGCCTCCACAGCAATGAGGCAAAGTACTGTGTATTAGGATTTTCAGAAGGTCTCTGAGGCACATGCCTCTGCAAAATCTCTGGTGACTGTCCTGGTGCATTACAGCAAATCCTACAGCTTTTCTCACCAAAGCAGCCTAATATGTAACCTAATTTGGAGTTGAATCTGGCAATGAGCTCCTGGAGTCTTTATGCATCTTAAAGTATCCTCTGCAGTCAGGCTTGGGTTTGTGTCTTCTCATCTCTGTGAAGAAAATCCTTTTTCTTTTATGAATCTATGATTTTGTCAGAAATAATAGCCTAGGTTTCTTCCTGGGTAATGGTAGAAGAAGATTATTTGTTTTTTGACCAACCAGTTCCAGTACTTTTCAGTTTATATTGGAATGAAGAACAGTCTAAACATTATAAAAAGAAGTAGACTCAAAATGTAAACAGTATAATTCTTATTGGGTCTGTCTAGGATAAAGTTAAGGAATGGATGTAAGGCTGAAAGAGAAAATTAAATTCATGTATTCAGTTCCACTATGTTGCAGGATTAGTGTGTTTCTATAATCTCCAATTAAATGCATCTGAAAATCTCTGTTGATGTTATTTTTCAGTGGTTTCACCACCTTTCTCTTGAAGGATGTTTCCAGGCTAAACATTACTTCTATTACAGTGTATTTTTAAACCAAGGGTAGTCTCATGACTTCAATTCTGAGTGGCTTAGTTCTTATTAAAACTATTTTGCTTGTGTCCTTATACCCTATTAAATTTGAGAAAGCACATTCAAAACACTAATAATACTTGATAATGGGGTGATCATTTTTGTCTTTGTTTTTAAGTTAAAAAGAGGAGGTTTTGTAATTCTGTTGGGAACGAAAGAGTCAGCAAGGAATTGTTAAGGTTTTAGTTCATGGCTCTGTATATTGTGCACGGATAGCTAATTAATAATAAATAACATAATAATAAATAATAATAAAAACGTAATAATAAATAACCAATAATAAATAACAATAAACTCAAATAAATATATGACATAATGGAAGATTAAGGGGATGGCAATAGTCTTCTACTCACTCTGTTTAATTTCACAGTCTTAGATAAAGCTGTATCATATGAAATATACTTCAGCCAAAGGAAAAAAAAAAAAAAAAAAAAAAGCATGCATTTCTATCATCAAAATACCTGTAATATCTTAACTGATTCAATCTCCTATTCATCCATGATCTGATTTCATACCAGGACTATCATAATTTGAAGGTATTTCTATTCTTGTATGGATTGCAGTCTGGAATGTTACCAATACTTGAGAACATTTTAAAGGATCAGTACCACCTGTTCCACTTTGGAGCAGTTGTCTGGTCAAAAAGACTGAATCAATGGAGCACATGAGTTACATCACTAGCACACATACTTCAATTTGATTTCATCTAAATAGAACCCAGTTATTCAGGAACGTTCTGTGACAGGAGCCAATGTAAGTAAGTGTGCAAGACTGGGAAATCAACATCAAAAATGCACTCCAGAACCAAAAGTAAAATCAAAACCAAAAATAGATCTTGATAGTTGTTGGTGTTTTTGTTATTGTTGTTGTTGTTGTTTTGTTTTCTTTTCTTTTTCCCTAGATGAGGTGGTTGCCTTCCTGGATAAACTGATTTCAAACATCTAGCAAATTTGCGGTATAGAATTTAATAGTGCAATATGCCAAACTCAGATTTAACCAATATTAGGAAATATATAGTTTATCATAATTCAAAGACTGCATTTGTTGTATTAGTACTAATTTCTTAAATCAGAATAACAAAACTTCTAAATTGAATTTTGTATCATGGAAGTAGACGGTATTAGAGAAGTCATTTGCTTTTAACATTAATAGATTTGGCACATAAAAATTTTCAAGTATTATAATGTAACTTTATTAATATCCATCCTATAATATGCCCTGCAGCACCACCAAACAACTGTATCAAAGAATCTGTATTTTTATTTTTTCAAACCTCAAAATTAATACAATTACACAGATCAGTTTTAATTTAGGGATGAAAGGATAAATAAACATGTATCTGTTAATCAAATGTAAAATTTGGTTCATAGATTGTATGGCTTCATAAAACTAGCAGGAGATTTAATATATCCAGTTGAATTGTACATTATTGCTACTCTGCTACACTTAAATATAAATTGAATTTAAATTATATCTTTTTTAGTTCAATTAAAAAAAGCATTGCTTTCATTATGGTTGTTTCTACTTGGTTCATTGCTCTACTGCTCCAAAGAATTAATGAATCATAAAAGAATTATTTCCAATGGAATTCTACCTTTTATTATAATCTAAATAGTTAGTTGGTAAAGCTCAATACAATAGCATAATTATGTTGATTCTTTCTGTTGGGGTATTTAAGCTTTGGAAACAAAACATTGTTATGTTTATGTAAAAATAAAACACTAGTAACAGTTCACATGAATTATCAAATATCTATCATGGATTAATTTAAAGTCATATCTTTAAATATTTGTGGGTATGCTTTACAATAATGTTTTGTAAACTCAGATTACAAATAATGGGATACAATGCCCATTCACTTTCTGTGATTTTGTTAAGTTTTTATGCTTCCGTTATCTCTCTGGTTTTGTTAATAAATGTAATTTTGTATCTCATATTTGCATGTTTCATGCAAGTTACTTTTAAAAACTGAGGCTTCATTATTACCTAAGTTATTATATATATGATGTTCTCTATAACTTTTGAGTTTATCTGTGAAAATATATCAAATGAGTAAGTATAGAAGGAAATATTTTTGCTACATATAGAAACATTCTTTAAATGTCTTGCTTGAGATTTTCAATACAACATTCTGTACATCCAGCAGAAACATGTCTGCAAAATACTCAACAGATGAGTACCTAAAAAAAAAAAACACAACACCACAACACCAAACCCAAACTGAAACAACTCCTCACCTTTGATGAAAATTCCACATAATTTCACAGGCATTTTTTTGCTCTTGTTGAAAAATTGGGATGAATTGTAGCAAGATTAGTTATCTCAGACAGTTATACCACTGAACTGTAAAAAAAAAACAACACAAACAAACAAAAAACACACACAAAAAACCATAAAGCTAGGGGAAACTTATTCAGGCTTATATGTTGATATATTGATTCTGTACAGTTTTTGTACAGTTTGTTTTTCCACTTTCATGCTGATAATAATAACCATAACAATCCTGGGACTACACTTTCTAAAGTAATGTAAAATACTTATCAAATGTTGTAAGTAATCAGATAATTGCATTAAAGTTTTTACTTTAACATTTTAGAAAAAAAAAAAAAAGTAGCCAATTTTATATACATTGTCCTATTATTTTGTCTTATCAGGTGCTACAACTATTGAAAAATATGATCTCAGAACAAATATATGGATCCAGGCTGGAGTGATGAATGGCAGGAGGCTTCAGTTTGGTGTTGCTGTCATTGATGACAAGCTGTTTGTCATTGGAGGCCGGGATGGTTTAAAGACGTTAAACACCGTCGAATGTTACAATCCAAAGACAAAGGCTTGGACTGTGTTACCACCAATGTCAACACATAGGCATGGTTTAGGTAAGGAAAAAAAGTTTAAAAAATATAACACATTTTTCAGATACATATTTTAGAGTGCAGAATTTATTTTTTTTAAGCTATGATAGCGCTCAACACTTTCAACAGTAGCAATCAATAAGGACTTACATTGTTCTTCTTTGATCACTAAAAATATAAAGAAGTCTAAGACACTTTTTTACTATTTACCAAAGTATGAATACTTAGGAAAAAAAAAAGGAAAAAAAAAAAAAAAAAAAAAAAAAAGATGGACAGGGAAAGAAGCCCGAAACTTACACAGATCAGATTGGTGAGAATATTCAGGCTTGCTTTCAACAATGTTGGTAAAGATATCTTTGTTTATCAATCAAGTTGTTATAGACTTTCATTTAAAGTATTATATTTAAAGTATTATGTGTTTTTATTTATCCACTCTGATAGAAAATATATGAAGAATATATACACTATGTCAGTGACAGACTTTACAAAGTATTTGTAGCAATAGTTCCATCATGACCAATAGAGCACATTTTCCCATAGCCAGTTTCAGTCAGGCTTTTTAAAGGATCATCCATACCACTCTCAGCATTAATCAGCCTGTGTTGTATTCCTGTTCTCCTGTCTTTCTTTACTACTTACTCTACTAGCCACAAACCAAAAATTGCCTGATAGAAGTGATCTGAAGTGATCAGAAGGGTAAATCTGATATCTGAACTCTCCTTTCCATATGGTTTCTTGATTTTCAGAATCTAAAATGAAGATAAACTCTTTTCTTGTCCTTATTTGTCTACAACTGTTTATTTTAGCCATCTCTATTTATTTTCAATGCAGGAAAAAAAAAAGACATTTCTAAAATATAATTTATGATATCTACTTTGAATATCTTTCTTGCAATGAAATGGGTCACACATTAGAATAAAATTTCCCTATACACATGCATACTTTTAACATTTTTGTTATATTGACCTGACTTTAACTTCTTAATAGTAAAAAATTGTTCAATTTTATTTTCCAAGGATATTCAGTGATATGAGATTTAAATTAATATAATTTCAAGTTTCTGAAAGACAATAGAATTATGCCACACACTACTAATGTTGAATTAAAATTAATTCAGTACATACACCTTTTATTTTACCTTTTGCACAAATTCCTTATCAAGACAGATTAAAAGAAAAATCTTTTGTTATATATTGGAACTGTTGCAAATGAAAATCTACATATCCCATAATACTTAACATGGTATGCTATGAAATATAATACATATTAACTACCTGAAGTCAAGAGTCCCTGTTTTTCGCAAAATAATGGTATAATATTACTGGTAGCAGTGGAAGCCGCCTCAACCACGACTTTATCGTTGATTAACTTCTAGTTTGGCATTCATTTCATTGTTTGTTTGTTTTTGACACTTCTGGGAAATGTGTTAGCTATGTTGAAATCTTTAGTATTGTATCTATTTTCCTACTGAGAAATTGCTGGAATCTACCAAAAACTAGAAAATAAGATCAGTGTTGACCAGTTAGTAATATCATTACCATTTGTTGTTATTAGCCATCCTACATCTCAACTACAACTGCCATGTTGTTGTTCTTGTTTTCAACATTATTATCATAATTGTTGTTATCATCATTATCATTATTTGCCAGATTGTATATTTGCTTTGGATGACGGTGGAATGGAATTTGAAGATACTCAAAGAAATATGCTATTTTTTTTTGTTTTGTTTTGTTTTGCTTTTTTTTGTCTGCTCTCACTTTTGAAAATAAGCAAAAGAAATCTGTACTGTTTCCTTGATATAAAATGTGCTCTTTCTTTCATGCATATCATATTCCTATGGTACAAAAAAAAAAAAAAAAAAAAAAAGCAAACAAACATAATAACTTTTTAATTCAATTACATAAGTCATTTTTTGGCGTTTGAAAAATATATTTTTATTCTTTCTGTGATGAGATTTTCTCTCATAAAGAAAGGAATTTAAAATCTATAGAATAAACCAATCAGAATGTAATATATAAGTTACAGAAAGCTGAGTTGCCCATTATGTGTTTTGCTAAAATAATCTGGTTTGACAGAATTGCTCCACAGTCCAGAAAATCAGAATTGGGAAAGGCATATTAGGTTATCACATCCATTCCACTGAGTTACAATTAGCAGCGAGTGCTGTAGTGTACTCTATCATTGTTGCACAAAATCAAGTTGCATTTTTTTCCTGCCATTTGACACACATCATAACATGCATTCATACAGTGGCTGGCATAATGCAGTTTTGCTGCATGGTGCACAAATCTTAGAATAAAAAGTATTGAAGGTAATCTATGTCAAATGGCATCATAATACTAAATAGCTCTGTGGTTTTAAATTGTTTCCTATGCCAAATTTAATTACAACATTGCAGAAATACATATAATGTCTTTTATAGAGTGTTCCAGAATTTCACAGAATCTATTACTTTCATTGCTATTACCAAAGAGTGGTAAAAATGCAGTGACTTGAGCTATTACATACAAAAGCATTAAGAAAGCAGGAAAAACTTGATAGAGAGATATTTTTTCTCAGTGCCAAGACAAGTTGGAGCCATGATCCAAAAGCTATTGTAATCAGTTCAAAAACTTTAAGATTTAAAATTTAAGATTCAAGATTGACACTTCTATGGGTGCTCTTGGTCAATAGATTTAGAATATACTTTTATATTTTAAGCAAAGCTGTTCAGGAATGTTGAGTTTTTGACGAAAAAAGTTGTTATGTTTTCCACAGGAGAAAAAAGAAGTACTCGAGGTACTCGAGGTTAAGGGGAAACCATTTGTTTGTGTTTGTGTGTGTGTGTGTGTGTGTGTGTGAACTTTTGAATTTTTATATTGAAGAAAATGGGGCTTTTTGTAAAAAATAAAAATGTGAAATGATGAAATACATAAAAATTGGGACTGGTGATGATGAAAACGGTTAAAAACCAAAATTTTCCAAAATTGTTTGGAAAGCAATATAGATATGCTCTTTATTTAAAATTGTACAGGAACTATATTATTTCCTGACAAGCTCTGTTAATAGAATTTGTGTTTGTTTGTTTGCTTTAATTTATTTATTTATCCAGGAATCCCATAAAGTTGTTATTTTAGTCAAAGACCTTTTTAATGAGATGAATCTACAATAAGAAATCCTTTTTCATTTGTTTTTTAAAACATACATTATGTTATATACATGTATTGTTGATGCTAGAGCTGCCTAAATTAGATTTTATATACAAGATTAGAAGCAGACTAGATTAGAAGCAGACCTCCCCTCCCCTCCCCTCCCCTCCCCTCCCCTCCTCTCCCCTCCCCTCCCCTCCCCTCCCCTCTCTTCTCCTTTTAAAATCTGTAATTTCTAAAAAAATATATATATAGTCTAAAATTTCTGCAGATTTTAAAAGGTGCCTTTAGTACAAATATCGGAAAAAAAAAAGCAATATATAAATCACCTTGAAAAAGGTGGAGGACAAGCTGAATGTAACAAGGAAGTTGGTACTACAGGGTTATAATGAATTGTTGAGTGGAATAGAAATTATGCAGATTAAAGATGCAGTTCATGAGGTGAATACAGAGAATAATCACCTTACTTCATTTTATGGGAAATAAGCTTTGTTAGACATTTAGACAGTGTACAACCTGTCTTGAGTTTTACCTTTTTCATAAAACATTTAGCTGTAAATTATTGTTGTTCAGTGCTGGAAATCTAAAGATGAATGACATCAGTCTTTAGACCTAAACAGAAGGATAACTTTCAAGTCAGTCAGAGTTTAACTCACGTCTTCCATTAAAACCAAACAAAACAAACAAACAAAGAAACTTCTACTGTGGCAATGAAATTGTTTTAGATAGTGCTGAAGCCCCAGCAAATACATGTTTTTCTATATAGTTATAATTTATCAAAAAGACATTCAAGGCAATGGAGAATGCATTAAAGTAGGATAACTAAAAGTTTGATACAGCTTTAACAGTTACATGGTAACTATAAAATAAACAGTAAAAATGTAGAGAATAAAGGGATCCTTTTTCTTTCTCCACTGGTTTGCAAGATTGCATCTTTTTATGTACCACCATTTCTGAGCTACTGAGGAGGAAAACTGGGAAAATCACATCTTTCATTAAAAGATAAATGAAAATATATGTGCTAGTAAAACAAAAAGGGTTTTATAGCAAAATAATTCCAGTTTTTCAGTATGTTGAGTGTCTGTGGAGCAAACCGCTATGAGGAGACAACAAAACAGAAGGTCAATAGACACATGCATGAGAATCTGAGATTTCATTATAGATAAGTAGGCAGATATGAACCTCTGGTGTCCTAATGGACAGAAGGCCAAAGAGAGAAAGTCAAGAAGAAACCAATGTCAGTAACAAGCAGAGAATTATATTATCATTAAAGTCAAGAGAGCAATCTTATAGTAGCTCATAGCCTGTTGGTATGACAAAACTGAAATTATTTGCAAATAATTAATTTGCAAAGAAAGTTCTGTAACCACTCTAACTATTAACAAATAAAAGAATTCTTAAAAGATACAATCGTGGTTTTCAGCCCCAAAGTAGAACACTGTATAAAGGAAACTTCCAGATCTTATTTTGATAAAGCATACTGATAACTGTCAATTGCTCATTTCATAGGCATCTGTTTGTTGTTGTTGTTGTTGTTTTCAAGCAGTCAAACCCAATAATCAACTTGAAAATAATACAGGCCTTCATACAACCCTACATGTATACTACTGATTGAGTTCTACTCTATTAGGTGATGACATTTCATATTTCCAGATATATGACACTCAATTGTTGGATATTTAGATACTCTGAGCAAATGACCATGTGTCATGGTTCCACTTCAGTGGGTAGCCGAGCTTCACCACAGCCACTCTCTCACTCCCCTCCTCAAAGAGGAACGGGGAGAAAATCTGATGAAAAGGGCTAAAAGGTTGAGATAAGGACAAGCAGATCACGCAGTAATTATTGTAATAGGGAGATAGTAAGATTTATCGCTTACTACTAACAAGCTAGAGA